TCTCTGATTACTTGGAGGGGGCATTTGAATTTGAAAAGGATCTCACTTCTGCTATAGCATGGGGCTCACAGTGGCTGGTGAACTTTAATTCAGATAAAACTAAATTTTTTTTGGCCAATCGTTATCGCAATAATTTAGACCTTCCTATATTTATGAAGGGTAATGTACTCGATGATTCATCTACCATTCATCTTCTAGAATTAACTCTTAATTCTGATCTTTCTTGGAAACCATATATCAAATCTGTTGCAAAATTAGCATCTGCTAAAGTTGCATCTAATCAGCTCGACACTTTCTTACTCTGGATTCTATTCTTTATCTCTATAAATCTCAAATCCGTCCTTGTATGGAAAACTGTTGCCATATCTGGGACACAAGAGACACTGCTCTAAAGAGCTAGCATCTCTTGTGTCATCTACTAAAATTCATTCTCATTTTACAAATCATTCAATTAAGTCTCATCCTTTTTCTGATGCTGTTCCAAAGTGCTCTAAAAACTCTTATTCATCTAGTTTTTTTCCTCGAACATTAGTTCTTTGAAATTTCCTTCATCTTGCTTTCCTAATTCATATAAATTGCAAAAATTTTCTTCATCTTGCTTTCCTGATTCATATAACTTGCAATCTTTTAAGTCGTTTGTCAATTATTATCTTTTCTCTTCCAGTAGCTTCCAACACTAATTAGTGGTTGCTTGCAGCCTTATTGGAAGCGAAGATGTTTAAAAAAAGAAATTAACAAAAGACTTTAGAAAACAAAAAATAAATGCTATAAATCAAGATTAAGGAGATTCCAAAAGTTAATCCAACCAACCATTTTGTCACCAGCATATAGTTAACAAAAAACTCCCTTGATTATTTTGTTTTTGGACTTCAACAACAATAACATGTGGTCTTTTAAAAAACTTATTAATTATGGTAACACTTTATAAACCTTTCATATGACTTTATTGGTCAACTGATAAAATAAACACCTTGCCCTTAACATAGATACTGTTAAAGATTGTCCAGAAGGAACGAGAATTTTAAAGATGAAATACGAGAATTCGAGACATGAGAATAAGTACTTTTATGCGAATTTAGTCTGAAAGTTTTTTTAACAATATACAGGAATTAAACACACACACAAAAATGTTCCAAATTATACAAAAAAAAAAAACTGGTTTGTACAATACATAATAAACCTGTTTTTGATAAACCAACTTCTTCCGTGTCCAAACTGCTTTAGGGTTGTGGAAAATACTATGGAAAAGTCTCTGGATTTTTTATTTAAAGTTTTTTTACGAAACGTCTTGGTATCAGGTTGGCAAGGAATTTATTGTTTCCTTTTGACAATTCAAACTGCTTCGCCAGTAATCGTGAGCGATTGCTCCCGCTTCCTGACCAAGCCTGTATATCTGGAGCAGATCTTCCAATGATGCCCTTTCTCTTTTAAACAAGGTGCAAAAATGCATTGTAAACGTAGTTGGTCTTGCTCTTGCAGCCAATCTCCAATCATTTTCACATTGTTGTAATGTTGCTTCTCTTTCTCTTTACTATAAATACTATAATGGGCACTGCTCTAAATAGCTAGTGTCTCTTATGCTATTTACTAAAATTTATTTTTGTGTTACTTGTCATTCAATTATTATCTTTTTACTGTGACTGTTCCTAAGTGCTCCAAAAAATCTCATTAGTTTAGTTTTTTTCCTCAAAAATCAGTCTTTTGGAATTCGCTTTCTACATCTTGTTTTTCTGATTCATATAACTTGGAATCTTTTAAGTTGCTGTTAATCATTATCTTTCTCCACAAATTTCATTTTTTCTCTTCCAACAACTTTTAACTCTAATAGTGTTTGCTTGCACCCTTGTTGGAATTGAAAATGTTGAAAAAAGTAATAATAATTGCTTGATGAGAAAAAAACCATGAAACAGGATGGTTTTTGAGTAGTTTCTGACTACTCTTCATTGTATCTTTTTTCATAATATTCTTCTGTAGAAAAAAAGTAAATTTGACGGGAAGGTACTTAAAAAAGCTTGTTGTGCACTTAATGTACTTAAGGAAGGAACTGTAAAATATGTAATTTTTAGAAGCGATAAATAATCAAAAATTAAAAATTTTTATCTTACCAGGCTTCAAACAAAATATTTCAAATTTTACAATGAATTTTACAATGAAATTAAAATATATTCATGTAAAACTAATACCTTTTTTTTAATAAGGTTCTCCAACAACCTTAAATACTTTAAATATTTAAGGTTGTAGGAGATGCTATTTAAAACCTTCCTAATTGTTCGTTTCGCTTAACAAGGAAAATTTTTTAACTTAAATGCCTGTGCTTGTATTTAATGTGTCTAATGTTCCTGTTTGCACCATATATTAAAATTAAAAGTGAGGGATATATTAAAAAGTTATTTATTATGAAAAATATCTTTGGATTTCCTATTTTTTTCCTACTATTTAGTAAGAATAATTTTTTAATAAACCAATTTTAAATAGTTTATTTGAAATATCTCACTCATTGCAAACTGAAAATATTATTCTAATTCAATTATTTAATGAAAAAAGCATAAGATTTATAAGATTTTATATTAAAAATTGAGGTTTCAAAAAGAAATCAAAGTTTAGAACTTTTTATAACAATGTTATGAAATGTTATTATGAAAAAGTTTATGAAAAGTAGTTTTCAGTTTTTTTTTCTTTAATACTCTTCGTGTTTTTTCAAACAACTTTTTTATACCAAGTTAAAAAAATGAGCAATATTGCAGAGATTTAAATTTGATCTTTTTTAAAAAATTTCTCGAAAAATCGAGTAGCATCCCACCCTGCCGAACTGATAGTTGTCTATAAGTAGAATTTTTTTAGACATAAAAAGTTTATATAAACAATGCGTATTAGGCAGTGTGAATAAAAATAAGCAATTGCTTTTACTAAGTAATTGGTCAGCTTAACATGAATAAAAACTTCAGGAATTTTCCTTAATTTTTTGTTCACGTAAAGCTGAGTAATTACTGAGTAAATTGCTTCACTTTACGTGAGTAAAATTTTAAGCAAAACACCTAAAGTTTTTATTCGCGTAAAGCGGAGCAGTTACTGAGTAAAAGCAATTGCTTATTTTTATTCACCCGGCCTAATGAAAAGTACTTTTTTACCTTATAAAAACAAACCTTGAAAGAAAATTTTCAGTTAACATAAACACACAAACAAACATTATGTACATATACTCTATTTTTACAAATCAGAATCAGACAATAATGCAGCTATATTATTTGTCTGACTGCTTTACTTAAATTTAAAAAAATTATATATATGTAAATGAATGTATTAAATTTTATTTGGAACAAAAAAACCTATCAAACTTTTGGTAAAACTTAGCTAAGAGTTGCTTCAACTCCTCAATTAAACAATAATATTCTTTTATTCAAAATAAAAAGTAAAATGTAATATATAAAAAACAGGGTAAGAGTATAAACCATTCCAAAAGATATAATTAGAAAAAGCCAATATTGGGACTCTCATTTTGATTGTTTTTTTTTTAAAAACCATTTTTAGCAAGATCTTCCTTTTCTGTTATTGTTTTTATATATCTGTTTTCAAGGTGACTTTATTTGGAAAAGATTTTTATGGTATCTAAATTTAACAAGATTATAATATTTAAATAATCACATTTTCAACTTCAAAAGTGACTACATTAACACATATTAAGAGCACATTATCTGACAAAAAGTTTGATAAAACTTTCTCCATTACATTATTTGTGAATAGTTAAGCATTCATTGCAGGGCTGTGGAGTTGGAGTTAAAGTTGTGACATTTTTAGCACAGAGTCAGAGTTGCTAAACAAAATCGCGACTCCGACTCCAATAGTAAAACTTCCCGGTATTACATGTGCATGTGCAAAACATTCAATCAACTTTATGTTTATACTAAACCTCAAAGAACGTTTCATAAATTTGTCAAAAAAGAAATTTTTAACTTATCATGTAATATTTTTTTAAAAATTCAAAGAATTTTTCAAAAATTTTGCTTTGGAGTTGATGTTGTTCAAAAAAATTTTAATAACTGGAGTCGGAGGCAGACTCAAAAAAAATCAAGAACTTGAGTCAGAGTCGTTACTTTTTTTTTACGACTCCACACCCCTGATTTATTGAAATACTGGTCTCCAAAGGAATAGAGTAGACAATTTAAAAATCTCTTTTATCTCAATTCTTTTGTAATTTAGTCAAATTGCCAAAGATACTTTTCATTTATTACATAGACAACAATCTATGTAATAAATGAAAAGCATCTATTTTATTGATAATTTTTATGTAAAAAAATTTTCTTTTTTTGGGAGGATATTTCCCGGGGGGATTTTTTCCGGGGGGATTTTTTCTCGGTGGGATTTTTTCTCGGGGGATTATTTGGGGGGGAAGGGGGGATTTTTTCCCGGGGGATTTTTTCCTGCTACCAAAAAAGTCTCTTTCGACTACAATTTTTATTACCTTATCTCTTAAGCTGTATTTGATTGTCATCGAAATGTCAAAGCATAGAAGTATAAAACATATGGAAGTTCAACCGCATTGAAATTCTTCGGGACTATGCTTGTAACCTTTTGTTTCGTAAACAATAAAAAAACGACATCAAGACTGTACTTAACGCTTAATCTTTATACGTTGACGCAAATAGATAGGGTAATTCGGGGCAGTACGAGACACTTAAGGATTAAAAATTATGTAAATAGACCTGGAATTAAGCAAAAAACTAAACAAGTGTACAGTAAATTTTACTTAGGGTAACTCTTTTCAAAACTTATAAGTAAATTTTTAAATTCATTTTTAATTGGATACACAGAGGATTTTATAAATAGCAACAGCGTGTCTCATGTTCCCCACCTTACGGGGCAAAACGAGACAGCATATGTTATGCAACTAAAGAGAAAAAATAAGAGACTTATCCAATTATTTTTTTATCATAAAAGATGTTAAATATAATTCATAAAAAATATAGTAACTTTAGCTTAAAAAATTAACCTGCTTGGCTAATCTAACCACAGTTAAGTAAGCCTTAAAAAACATAGGTTAAAATTAGAGATTAAATATTAAAAATAGATAATAATAAATATCAAACATAGATATTAAACATAGCTCAAACTTAAGCACCACCCGAACAAATTGATGCACAAGTTATACTCAACTATAAGACATAAATTAATGGATAATAGAATGTTTAAATATAATCATGGCACACACACAGTTTACACAAAAAATCTGTCCCTAACTTAACAAAATAAACTTCATGGTACCATAATTTACACCTAAAGCATTGGACACATTTCTGGCTAGACTCTGATATTTTTTGGTTTTCTCCATATTTAATTTTATCATCTTTTTTTAGTTTAATCTTTTTTTCTGATGGTCTTTTTTTGTTGTATTTAACTTTTTTTTTATGTTTACGAACCCCTCCTGCAAAGTTTTTTTATACGATGTGCTAGTCAAAATTTCTGACTTTTCTCCTTTTCTTTTTGTAGTCTTCACTTCAATAGCTGGAATTGATAATATATCAGTAAAAGAAAGCTGTTGAGAGTTTGAAATTGACAACGAGGCATTTATTTAATTAACTGAAAAACTAGCAATGGATGTTTGATCATTCGAATTTTGGTTCGGCCCAATTAAAGAATTAGTTGTAGATGATTGTTCAGGATTTATATCTGCTATTTCCTTAAATATTATGTTTGTATAACCAGGCTTGGTCGGGAAGTGGGAGCGATCGCTCTCCACGGAAATTGTATTTAGTTGCGAAAAACTGGTCAGGTTTTTTAGTCGTTTTGAGAACATTTAAATATATGTACAAAACAAAAATTTTTTTTTTTACGGACATACATGGAAACATAATAAACTTCAATGTTCTCAAAACATCTTTGTGCGAAAGAATAAAAAAAATATTCGCGAACACTAAAAACCCGCCAAATAAACGAAGTAACTAATTCTATTAGTTCAAAAAATACGCTGACTTGGCGAAATAAAGTTTTAGATTATCCTATTGAAATGTTTTAGAAATTGTCATATTCACGATTTGTTACGTTTTGAGATTTCTAGTTTGCTTGTTTTAAAAATTACTTGTTTACAAAAATAAATATTTTAGATATATATTAAATTGTCAAAATTTCAAAAGTTTATTATAAATTATAGATTTTATTAGTATATTCTTATTTTTTATTTAAAAAGTATGTATTCTTTATGTTAATGTAATTTTGTGCATCTGTTTTTTAGCGTAATGTATCTTTTAAAGCAATTTTTATGATTTAAACGAAGACAAAAATAATTGCGTTTTCAATAAAGTTATGATCGTTATAGTTAATAAAACTAATTATGTAACAAACATATAAGAAGTTTCTGGTTACTAAACACAAACAACGCATTCAAAGTAACTCGCGGATGAACAAGCGCCTGAGGTCACGACAGAACACAAATATATATATAGCAAATAATTAGAAATAAAGAAAAGTTTCTATATATTGGTTTACCAACTCTAATTATTTTCGCTTAAGTTGCCATCATTGAAACTCGTTATACTTTTTTCTGCTTTAAATACTAATTAAAATTAAAAAGCCCACTCACTAAACATCATCAGCGATATTGTGAAGCAGTTTCGCTTCCTCGTCATAAAGTATTTTTAACCTTTTTAGTTGATTTCTATCTTGTTAATTTAATTTCTATAGTAATTCAATGATTTAATTATTTCATTTGTTTATCTTACTAAGAAGAATTGCTTCAAATATGTTAAACTTTTCAAACTACGTGAAACATAAAATAGGTATTGAAAAAATTAACTTTTTTATTTATAAATTAACTTAGCTTAAATAAAACTAAAACTTGCGAACTTTGCTAAATAAAGAGCATTTGTTTCTTTTTTAAACAATCGCAAGTTGTTACTTTATATAAAAAACGTTGCTTAATTTTATAAAAAAAATTACAAAAGAGCGATGTTTCGAAAATATTTGTTCTAAACGTAATTTATTTAGCTTTAATTTTTTTCGCGTGTAAAGATATTTTATTTGCCTAACTTTTTTTTTTTTTTTTTTGTAATTGTTTCTCATCGGTCCAATTAATCTTATCCGCTTTTTTTTTTGCTTTTTAAAATGTTCTCAAAACGACTAAAAAATCTGGCCAGCTTTTCGTAACTAAATATTATTTACATGGTCAGCAATCGAGAGCGATCGCTCCCGCTTCCCGACCAAACCTGTATAACTATCTTTTAAACATGGATTTTCAAAATAATCTGACTCAGGAAGGATTTCTCGATTAAAAGGATTGATGTCTGTTACTCGAAATCCAGAAATAGCATTTTCCACTGTTGCTGCTTTCACATAAGCTTGACAAAATAGTCCTGAAAGTTTATCAACTGTAATTCTTCTTCCTGGGTGCTTTCTCATCCATGTTGTGCATACTAAGTTATAAGCACTTTTCAAAGATTTGAACAAAGTTCGATCAAGTGGTTGGAGCTTATAGGATGTATGTGGTGGTAGTGATAAAGTATGCAATCCATTTATGCTAGCATAATTGAGAAGATCAAGATTTTTGGTGTGTGATTTGTGACCATCAAGAATTAACAAACACTTATTTGTAGTGCTACAATTTCCATGTATTACAAAGTGTCTTATAAAATCCATAAACAAATTTGTATCTACCCAACCACTTTTAGAACAGCGTCCAAGTATTCCTGGTGGTGCGTCATCAATCAATGAATCTAGCATCCGTTTTCTTTTAAAAATAATCATAGGAGGTATGTAGTGTCCCACACAATTAAAAGCTAGTATAACAGTTGTTGTTTGGCCTCTCTCACCACTAGTTACTGAAGATACAACACGTTGGCCTGTAAAAATACAATTATAAAAATATAGACAATACAAAATAAAAATAAATACAGACACACAAATAATAATTTGGTTTTTCACTAAGGCAAATAAAAAAATTTGCAACTTCTCGTTTATTACCTTTATGAGCTATTGCTTTTAAAGGCTTGTGAACACATGTTAATCCAGATTCATCACAGGTTTAGATGCAATTACCCTACGTTTATAATAATTTAAAAATATAGTTTTTGAAGGTTCGCCAATAATATTCAAGAAAAACATTAAAAAAAGGCGCAACGTAACGGCAAACAACAATTTTTTTATAAACTTTATATTAAATGAATAAAGTACTACAAGAATGAATGGTGTTATCATAAACAGCTAATAAAACTTTAAACTTTAGTTACTTAATAAACAATTTTTTTGATTTTTTTTAAATTGTTTTAGTTGTCTTCAAAATGTCGTGTTATGACTTGAAGCAAGAAAAAAAAGCTTAAACTAACATATGATTTTAAAATCAAGTGGTTCTATTTAATTACCGAGTTTTAATAAACCTTTTGTTGAATAATTGCAATTACTAATGGTTAAAAATTTGCAACATATCCCTAGAATAATTCATTTTTTAATGTTTTAATAAAGGTCATTTCAGTGAATTTTGTTGTTTTTTATCCAGTGAAACTTGTTTTTTTTTTAATTGTCGGTTACAAGCATACTCCCGAGACGACTTGAAATTGCTTTGATGTTTGCGGCTCGATGAACTTCCACCTGTTTTATACTTCTATGGCCAAAGCAATTAATTTAATGCGAAAGTACATTAAATTTTATTGTTTTTTAAAAAACCCGCAATAATAATGACTAAAAAGTTTTTTTTAATTAGTGATGTTTTTGTTTTTGTTTTATTAAAAAACATTTTTAAAACATGTGTAAGTGTTGCTACATCAACTATCTTATAGCCTGCTGCTACAAGGGAGTGTTGCTACATCGACTATCTTATAACCTGACTCGCAACGGAGTGCTGCTACATCGACTGACTAATAGCCTGACTCGCAAGGGAGTCCTGCTACATCAACTGAAGGTTTGGTTTGGACAGGCAGTCTATCAATTGAAAAAAAAATTTTTTTTTTTGAAGTTTTTTAACATTTTCTGGTCATGCTTATTAACGCGCTCTTTAAAACAACAGTTTATGGGAAAAACTTTGTGACTACCATGCAAGACTATATATATATATATATATATATATATATATATATATATATATATATATATATATATATATATATATATATATATATATATATATATATATATATATATATATATATACATATATATATATATATATATATATATACATATATATATATATATATATATATATATATATATATATATATATATATATATATATATATATATATATATATATATATATATATATATATATATATATATATATATATATATATATATATATATATCTAAGTATATATATATATATATATATATATATATATATATATATCTATATCTATGTATATATATATATATATATATATATATATATATATATATATATATATATATTTATATATATATATATATATATATATATATATATATATATATATATATATATATATATATATATATATATATATGTATATATATATATATATATATATATATATATATATATATATATATATATATATATATATATATATATATATGGAATCACAGGAACTATATGGAATTACAGGAGTCGTTTTAAAATGTGTAAAGAGTTGTTTAAATAATCGTGCTCAATATGTACTCATTGACCAAAAACGTTACTAAATATTACTTGTGGCGTGCCACAAGGTTCTATACTCGGACCTCTTCTTTTTCTTATATATGTTAATGATCTTCATAAAGCATCCAGCCTGAGGACAATAATGTTTGCTTAGAACTTAAAAAGGTTTCCGACTGGTTCAAATTAAATAAACTTTCAGTAAATATTGACAAAACTAACTGGGGACTATATCGGGGACCGTATCTTTGGAACAAAATTGTCTTAAATAACTTTGATTTTTCTTTTGAATGAAATTACATATCTTTTAAAAAAAAGTTGAAAGAAGTAGTTTTTGAAATTGAAAATATACAAATGTACTTTTAAACCTTTTGAAATTCTTTTTATCTATTGTTCATATCGGTTTATATGATTTGTAATGTATGATTTTTCTTGACATGATTTGTAACTCAATTATTTACGATCTTCAAGCCTATTTTGCTATTACACTATCTGTCCAATTATCTTTAAGAATTTTTTTGTGAACTTTTTATTTTTTTGTAGTTTTTTTAATTTAAATCTTGTTATTCTTTTATTATTGCATAACACTTTTTTATTTACTACGTAAAATAATTAACTTGTAAAAATGTAACAACGTCTTTTTACCGCGGTACTCGACGACAAGATCTTACGGTCTTATATTTGGTATAAATATGCCACCACCACAAGTATACTAACTACTACTTTACATTATGAAACTTACTACTTCATCTTTTTAGCTACTAATATTATAAAAAAGTGCATAAGTTCAGCAAACGCTAATGGTGTTTCAAAAACAAAAAATGTAATCATATATTTATACTTGTTTTTCTGTAAGCACAAAAATTGTAAGTAGAATAACTAACTGAAATGAATTTTTGTTCAAAAAATCTTTGCTTAAGATATTTCCTTAAGAGTTACACAGAAATCATCAATCCAATTTTTCATTAGTAGGGTAGATTAGGGTAATATGAGCACCTTGGTAATATGAGCATACTTAAAAATTTATTAGATGTAAGCAGTGAAGTTAAAGTTGCTTCATGTTTTTCGAATCGACTTTATGTGGTGATAACAGGAATCAGTACAATTAGCGTAAATTTATACGCAGTAATTAGCGGATATCATCTAACTAAAACACTTTTAGATTTTTTGCTTTGTTAAAAAAAATCATCACGCGTGAATAATTCTGTGGCGCGATATTTTGGTGCTAAAATAATGAAATTAATTTTTTCATAAAGAAAAATATATTAGCTAAAAATCCAATTCATTTTTGTTTGAAAAATAATGCATAGAAACATTTATTTTTGACTTTATTTAAAGATACCATTTTTGTGTAATATGAGCATGCTCAAATTACCCAGTGCTTTTCATTGAAATTGCTCCCAAAATAGCAGTGGTTTTTAATTGCTTCTTGAATAAAAACAAAACATAGTAAAAAAATTTTAATATATTAACAATACTAAATATTTTTCTGTAACTTAAATCTAAAAAATTTTAATTTTTATTGTTCAAAGGTTTGAGTTAACAAAATTGAAAAAACAATGTATTAATTCTTTTTTTTTGGCGGAAAACATAGTAGTATTGTTTCAACAAAATGTAGCTTAAAATTTGATCTTTTAATGATAAGTTTTGTTAATCACGAATCCTTATATTTCAACAATTAGTTCTATTAAGCAGGTTGGTCTTTTTTTACTTAATTAATCTATTTTTTTGAGCTAATTTAAAGTGCTCATATTACCAAGGGGTCAGGGTAATACGAGCACCTTTGCTACTTTTTTAAAACCTCTGTGTTTTTAAGAAAAAATGTCAAGTGCCCAAATATCTAAATAGATTATGAATAGGGATCCCTAAAAATTGTTTATTTGCAAAAATTTTGGATCCAGCATATTTATTTTTGAAAATATTCAAATTTTTGCTTAAGGTGCTCATATTACCCTAATCTACCCTACTTTGGATTCTTCAGTTAATATTTTGTTTCTAGAACCACTATTTGCCGTTTTATCGGCAATCCATTTTTATATTATTGTTTAATTGAATAGATTTTAGTTCGTTTAAATCCAAGAATATTTACAATTTCTGATGGTAAATTTCCATTCAAATATCTTTGAACGGTTTTTATTGTTGACTGTTTCAATTGGCATTGCTGTTAATAAGTATTGAAAATGATATTTAAACTTTTTCTATAAAATCTGATCGTATTAAAGAGAGAAATATTTTGGATAATAAAAGTATTTTTGTTTTCTGAAAAAACTTATGATGTTTATAGTTTGATGGCAATTTATTATTGTCGAGGGATATTTTCTAAAATGTGGATATTTTTTTTGGCAATTAAAAATATTTAAATTTGTCATTAAAAATAATGAATATAGCAATTAAAAACAACTATTATGGAAGCTTAAAATAATTAATATCCACACTTTTTATTTTACATGTATATTTTAGGTATATTTAAATAATTATTTTTGAAACCACATTTCAGTATCCACTTTAAATATTTTAGAATTAAAAAAATAGCCCGTTAATTTTTTATTGTCACGATTAAATACAACCCATTATTATGGAACAAAAGTTTTCAACATAAATATAAAAATTTTTACTCAAGTTGTTGTGTTTTTAAATTGTCGAAATGTGATCGAACAAGGTCGAAATTGTATACAACAGTGTCGAAATATAGTGATACAATATCGAAATTGAATGATACACTCTCGCGGAAAGTGTGGAGTCCACATCAGTGTGTAGCTATCACTTCTAGGCACAAGTGTGGAGTTATTTTGCACACTTTTGTGGAAATTAACTTTTTCTAACTCGACATCTGCGCAGAAGTGTGGAGTCATTTGCACAAAGTTGTACAAAATAACTCTACACTTGTGTCTAGAAGTGATAGCTACACACCGGTGTGGAGGAAAACTCTTTCCGCGAGTGTGTAGGATGTCTATTATCTAATGAAAGCATTAGATAAGATTCAAATAAGTAGTAGAGAACTTTATCAAAAACTTTAAACATATATATATAGAGAGAGTAATCCACTTCGATTAGCACTGCTTTTAAAGGTTACAAACTACATTTCAAAGTTTTTCTTTTTAACTCAAAGGCATCACTTTGACTTGCTGCTGGAATAATTATACTACTTTAACTGTACCACAATTTTAAACAGTTTTCTGCTTCGTTCTCCCTTCAGCTAGTCTTTTATACCTCCCCGCTAATATAGTACTTTTTTATATCAATTCCTTTTGCCTCTTTTAAAGCGTAAGAAAGTTAACTTGAAAAAAGCCTGATTATACCGTTAAAGTGTTAAATCATTCTATATATGGCAAGTTCGTTCTCTATTTATGGAAATTATCTATATATGGTGAGTTCATTATCAATAAATAGTGAATTCATCAGAATTTTTTTAAAACTTAATATTTCACAGTT